ATTCTAATATTATTTTCAAAAATTAGAATTTATTAATATATATTCTAGTATACCATTTGCATGTATTCAACATACACAGTGTACAATAGAATAAGCGAGACAAATTTACATGTCATGGCATAACTGATAAGATGAAATTCTCTTGCATAAACTTAATATGTTCATTGAAAATATTTCATTTCAAAAATAAAATTTACTATATCGATAAGATCATCAAAAAGTACAAAAAAGGATTACTGACCTAATATATTCATAGCATAAGATGAATATTTTTTTTATCATATTGATTTGATCAAAAGAAAGAAGATATGCAAATAAAGAATTGCCACGAACCAATATTTAGTTGAAGTCCTCACAAGTGTTCTGAACAATTACGCTTGTTTACAGCCGGACTCGGATTGGAGCTAATTGATATCAGACAAATATTTTCACAGTCATAATATAGCTTTCAAAGATTTACTTTACATGGAAAAGCATACTGTTTAAGGTATAGGTATATTTGTTCTCTCCATCGACACCCACATCCTCTACTACAATACTTTGGATATCACGAAATAAATTTACTTCTCTAATTTATTTCCATGATACATTCTCTTGAGATAATCAGTTGGCTTTCTGCTTAGATCATAACTTAATGACTATTAATGTGCAAACGCAAATGTAGGCAAAAAAAGGAGATTATCTTCTTTTATCATCCATTTGATCTCGAATCCATGACGAAATCGGGACATTTCTTCAAATCCGAAGATTAAATTGGCATCGATATACATAAACTCTAGCAGTTTTCCAATTTCAAAAAGTTTCATTTACTTAGGGCAATCCAAAAGTAGTGTCGTCAAGGTCTTATTTCCTTATAGTAAGTAAAAAAATTTTCTTTCTTTTTATGAATAGATAGAGCGTCTTTCACTCTATCTTTCTATGCTATTTGATCGACCTTCATTCAATATTAGAATAAAAAAAGCCTTGATAAGAACTGTTTTTGTTGGAAGCTGGCTAGTTGTATTACATTATATCATCATTCTTACATACCTTTTTTTCGTTCTTTCCATGTTTTGCTCTTTTCACTTTTTTTTGTTTTTTCCTCCTCTTGTCATGTGATTAGTCGTCTATGCATATATATGTGTTAAGAAATACGTTGTGTCTTGTCTTCTTTGTGAATATGTATAGTTTGCTGCAATATTTTTTGAAACAAACAACAAAATTAAGTTGAATTGAGCCTTAACAGTGTCTATTTATTTCAGATGAGTACAGAAAACTTTCGCTTCTATACTAAAATGCGTACCGAACTTAACATTCCACCAAGCGCTATTCATAATGAATTATCTTCGGTCTACGGTGATCAAGCTTCTTCTCTTCGAACAGTTCAAAGATGGGTGTGGGGCTTGTCTAAACACATATCCATGTCAACATCCACACCCACACCCTAGTGCAATATTCAATATTTTTTCTCTTTTGAACATAAATATGTGAAAATGTTTATTATTGAAATGAGAAAGATTTAAAATAGTTAACAAAACTATATCATTATATTGTTTGATTGCTTGATTATTATTAAAAATTCTCATATAAATATAATGTGTCTTCTTAATTGCGGACAAAAATCAAAACAATTAGAAGACCTACAGTGTGAGTTATCGAAGATAATTTTTGTTCTTTGTTTCTCAAATGAATATAAACATTTTAATATCATTGTGAAATAATGTTTTTTTATTTAAATTTTCTTTTAAAATTTTGAAAGAACGCTATTTTATTTAAATTCAATAATATTAACGACAAGAAATACTTCTTTTGAATAAAATTCATTATTAAAATGTCATCAGGCAAACTGATTAGGCTTTCTTTTGTATTTAACAATAATATGATCTTTGTTTGTATTTGATTATTGTAATAAAGCTGAAGATTTTATTTTGATTCGAAACTATTTATTTTCATTTAATAGAATTAATTTATTGCTGTTTTTTTGAAGAATATTAACAAAATTCAACTTATAATGTCGGAAAGTAGATCAAGCACAAAAAGTCATGATTCATTTAATCAAAATGTAGAAAAGGTATGGATTAACGAGTTATTTGAAGATACTTTTCCAATGATAAATTTACCGAATTATAATCATTTGTATGATTGTATTAAACAATGGTTATCAACACCAAATCTTGGAACTATGAAGGAAGAAGAGATTCAATTGAATTTTTATCAAAACTGTATGAAAGTTTACGATTCACATATTGATCGGACATTAAAATATACTAGTAATTATACAGGTACTGTTTTTAAAAAATTATTTGGAAGATTAGTTCCTGATTTTTGTCGTGTTGATTATTATAATGCTCATGCAAAATCATCATCGAGTGGTTTAGATTTATAATTTTTACCACTTCATATTATTTCCATGCTCGTAATTAAAAAACAAATGAAAGACTCCGATATTAGTCAACTGTTACATTATTTACGTATTGTATTAGGTTATTCACCAAAATCACGTACTTATATCATGGGTGCAATTACTGATTTTAAACAAATCAGATATGGCAAAGTTTCAATATCAAATAATGATTATGATTTTATAGATGCAGCGTCATTACTACCGCATCAGGATAAAACGAAATATTTATTGGAATATTTAACAAAATGTTTTACGATGGATCGATCACATTTGGGTTACAAGAAATTAGAACCATTACCTGTAAATATTCTTATTCATAATAAATTATTAGGAATTGGTGCTAATGCAATGGTTTTTAATTGTTCCGTTGATAACGATGAGAAAGAAGAATATGCACTAATCAACGATCTTGCCCTATTCTTTCCAGGTTCTTGTTTTTCTTTACTTTCAGACAAGATTCTTGTATTCAGGCAAGATTCTTTTCGACAGGAAAGTAAAAAGAATCTTGTCTGAATTTCAAGATGACAAGAATCTCGTCTGATTAATCAGAAATAAAAGAATCAGGCAAGAATCATAAGATATTCAAGATGTATTTAACGTTTAGACAAGAATCTTTTTCTTTTCTTTTAAAAAGAATCCTGTCTGAAGTTCAAGATCAAAAGAATTTTGTCTGAAAATTACGAAAAAACAGAAACTGGAAAGAAATATAAGATATTTTAAATTTCTTAGTATTCAGACAAGATTCTTATGATAGGAAAGAAAAAGATTCTTACCAGTTTTCCAAGATCAACGGCACTTGATGCCGTCTTTGTATGATCAATTATATAAAGGCAATGTCTGAACGTTATTTATTCACTATTGATTCGATAGGTAGTACAATTCACTTTGAATATGTACTTTTCCTAAAGCGTTCATTTCATTCAAATGGCATCTAGTAACTCATTATTTCAATTGAATGTACAGAAAAAGTATCCATTCGGTATCGAGAAAGCAATGGAATATATGATATCTTTTTCTCCATTGTATTCACAAAACTTACACTTATTGAACACATTTCGATATTTTACCAATCCATCTCTTCCCATTTTATTTTTTTAGATTTTCTTTCATTATCCACAAAAGTATTTTTTTTTAATGGACGAAGGAAATTTCAATTCGTTCAAAAAATTATTGTTTGATAATGCTCTTGGTAATATAGGTAATATCTATATGCACTTTATATCCTTTTGACTCACATGCTATATTTTTTAGAGTCATCACCACATACAGACAAACAACGTTGATGGCGTGCTAAGAAAAAAGATCAACATCATCGTACTCAATTATCTCTACATCGTTTACTAGTTGAACAAATTATAAATAACTTATTTTAATCGAGCTAGCTCAAAATAAAAATTTTTACACTGTTCTTTTTTTGTAGAATGAATCACATCAATATTCATCTGATATTAATGAAAATTTTGAAAATGATGTTACTGTTGATAATTGAATTTTTGATGATAATATGGTTGTTCATGATTCACCTATGGATGATACACATTCTGATGTTACATGTGCTGGTGGTACATTTAATGATGATACACTTGTTCAAGATTATATACTTAATGATGACGATTATAATTATAGTTTTGATTTTAAACCGAATTCGGTTCAATCAGCTGGTAAGATATAATAATTTATTGTTTTCCTTTTCGCCAAAAATTTTTTAAGAAGAGGTTGCAATTTTTTTCTTTTTTTAGAAATAATTGCTGAACAAGAAGATGAACCGTTATATACTGGTGCACCTGTGACATTTAAATCTTACCATAAACAAATATTGGAAATTGGAAATTCAGTTAAATTAAGTGATTCCAATATGAATAAATTATTGCAATTAATTGGAAATGCATTATCAATAGAAAATAAGTTATTAAGGTCATATAAAAAATTACTTACTGCTTTTAAAATAACATCAACATTTAATCAAGAACTTAAATGCAAATATTGTTTAAGAATAATTGACAAAACCAATTCTTGTTCTATTATTTGCAAACAAGACAAATGTCAACGACGGATTGGTGATGTTATAGAACATGTATCTGTTAATCGTTCATATGGACAATTAATTGAAATTATCCGTCGGAATAAACACTTAATACTGGATTATCCACAAATTGCCAATAATTTATTACCATGTGATGTTATTAGCGGATCAACTTATCAAGAAAAAAGAAAAAATCTTAAATCATTAAATGGAACATATTCTGTTACCTTGATGATTCACATTGATGGTTTTCAATTAGTTCATTGGACAAAAAAGTACACATGGTTAGTAACAGCATCTATAGCTGAAATTCCACCACCACTTAGAGAGAACAAACTGAACATGTTATTGTTGTCGTTATGGTACGTAGAATTTTTAAAAAATTTATCCATTACTTTTCTGATCTTTCGAGCATAACATATTTGACAAGAGTAATTTTTAATAATGAATAAAAATATAATTGACAGGGAATAAGAATTGATTTTTCTATATGTTACTCATACATTTCGTCGTTTTTGTCAGGGGCGGCGGAACGTACTGAAATCAGGTAAGGCTCAGTGAAAGAGAAAAATTTCAAAAACAAGAACAATTTATTTTGAACTAGAGTATTAAACCAAAAAAATGTTGTCTTTTTCGTTAGATGATATAAATTTGAACGCTATTTGACGTGGATCAATTTTATCAAGTTTTTCTTTGTATATATGTGGTAGTTTAATATTTATATTAATATGAAATCACTTTTCTTCAACAAGAATAATATATAATCGTCTAATGCACTAATAATATCATAATGAAAAACGCATTTAAAAGATATGAAAGCTAGACATTCGGATACGTATGGAATAAATTTTCTACATTTTATATTTCAATTGTTACATTTGCCGATATTTTAAACAAATATTAAGGATGCGTTTCACTGAATATATTGAATAAAATGCTAACATCATAAAAGAGAATATTGATGTTCGAATGTGGTTAGTTTTGGTACTTATTGATCGTATAGTTCTACGATTGATCTAGCACGTATATCACTTTATGTAAATAAGATGAAAGGTGTCGCTATCAACCATAAAGATATAGTTAGTGGAATTACTGTTGTCTAGTTTCTTAGTTTTCTTTGTCACAATAGATAAAAAGAATTTAAAGCTTAAATCTTTGCACTGAAATAAAATCCGTATGATAGAATAAGTCTAAACCGTTATGTGAATAAATATCGGATTCATAATTCAGGTGAGGCTGAGCCTCTACACGCCAAAAACAGGTAAGGCTCAAGCCTCACGAGCCTCTACGTCCCGCCGCCTATGGTTTTTGTGATAGATATGCTGAAATAAGCATTAATTTTAATATTGCTTTTTTTTCATCTTAAGAACAGCTCAGTAAAACCAGATGCAAATTCGTTATTAGATGAAATTTGTGATACAATAAAACAAACAGTCATTGTTGATAATATTAATTTTGCGGTTGATGTATTATTATTTAAAGCTGAATTACCACCTCGTACATTAGCAACAAAACATGTCAATCATAATGCATATTACGCTTGTCTTGAATGTGACCAGGAAGGAGTTTGGTATGAAGAAAGTCGAACTGTTATATATCCTTATATTCCACATCAGATGAATAGTCGTTCATCATTTCATTTTGATTTTTGTGCTAAACAAGTTAATCAACAATTATCTTGTGACAATTATTATGGTATAAAAGGTGTTAGCCCATTAAGAAAAATAATGAACATTCCAAATCAAATTAATATTGATATAATGCATTTATGTTTCATCGGACATTGAAATTTCTTATTATGCAAATGGGAAAAAATGATTGTTAAACAAAGTTGGTTATCAGGTAACGAGGGTGTGTGTGGGGTGTGGGTGGGTGTGGGTGTGGGTGTGGGTGTGGGTGTGGGTGTGGGTGTGGGTGTGGGTGTGGGTGTGGGTGGTGGGTGTGGGTGTGGGTGTGGGTGTGGGTGTGGGTGTCGGTGTGGGTGTGGGTGTGTGTGTGTGTGGGTGTGGGTGTGAGTGTGGGTGTGGGTGTGTGTGGGTGTGTGGGTGTGTGTGTGTGTGGGTGTGGGTGTGAGTGTGGGTGTGGGTGTGGGTGTGGGTGCTGGTCTTCTCTAAACCCACCCCACCCACACGCACACCCACACCCCCCACCCCACCCACAGACCGAACCCCG